CCCCCCCATGATAGCGAGAAATATTTTTCAACAATTTTGTCTGATCAATCCCTTTACTGTACCCGAACATAAACATAAAATACCTGTTGAGCACCCCTACCCACCCCCCCACCCCATCTTCTCTCCAACCTACACTCCCACACCCCTTAACCTAAATATACCTGGGACGCCCCGCAACCCCCAGCTCCCCACGTAAACACATAACATGCCTACCTGGCACCAGGGGACACGACTCTCCGCAAAAACCGCGGGACTATAAATATCAAACCATTGGTATCTTTCAAGGGAGAGTATACCGCGGCGTGAAGACAAGTTTTATCTTCTCTTGCAACCTCTCGTGTATTTTTTTTAACGTTGATTTAAAGCTAGACGTTTAAAAATGGCAGTTGGAATAAAATTCTTGATAAAATATCTCCATTTTTTTTTGTCGTTTTAAAACACATCACATATGTACTCTTAAGTTAAGATGTGTAAACAAGTTTAAGAAATACACACATAGATCACACATTTATAGTGTTTTTATCATTTTAAAAAAACATTCGTGTGTAGGTTCGGCTCTTCCGTACAAGTTCAGCTGATGTTTTATTTGTTCGAACTCTACTCCCAAAGCTCTAATCCCTTCATGTATGTTTTTTGATGCTTTGTATTAACGATATCAGTATCAATGATTTAAACCACGTTTAACCTGATTCAACAATGATTAGAACCTAGATTAAATCAGGTTTAAGAAAAATTAGAGCCTAGATTAAATTAGGTTTAACAATGATTAGAACCTAGATTAAACTAGGTTTAACAATGATTAGAACCTAGATTAAACTAGGTTTAACAATGATTAGAACCTAGATTAAACTAGGTTTAACAATGATTAGAACCTAGATTAAACTAGGTTTAACAATGATTAGAACCTAGATTAAACTAGGTTTAACAATGATTAGAACCTAGATTAAACTAGGTTTAACAATGATTAGAACCTAGATTAAACTAGGTTTAACAATGATTAGAACCTAGATTAAACTAGGTTTAACAATGATTAGAACCTAGATTAAACTAGGTTTAACAATGATTAGAACCTAGATTAAACTAAGTTTAACAATGATTAGAACCTAGGTTAAACTAGGTTTAACAATGAGTAGAACCTAGATTAAACTTGGTTTAACAAGGTTAAGAACCACTTCTACCAACTAGACTCAGCATGCCACCATTTGGCATCACCACTCACACCACACCACACCATCCCATAACATAAAACACCATACCCCAAAACACAACAACACATCACCCCACACCATCCCACAACAAACCGCATCACAGCACAACATACCACAGCACAACACACCACACCATTCCACACCATCCCACACCACATCACAACATACCACAACATACCACCCACCCCACACCTTCCACACCACAACATACCACACCACACCACCCTACGTTTGCCGGTTCAGTCCCATCGTCTTTACACATTTATCTTAAAAACCAAACCAGCCATAACGACGCTATATAGTACTGTATTCTACCCGGCTATAACGACGCACGCTACATAGAACTTTAGTTTACTTAGCCATAACGACTCTATTTGGAACTGTATGCTTCCCAGCCATAAAACGACGCTATAAAGCATTGTGTGCTACCCATCCATAACGACGCTTGATAAAACAGCTGTACTCCGCTTTGCTGAACGCTTGCGTCACATCGGCGTCACACCCGCGTCACGCCTGCCATTGTGTTCTACCGATCTATCGACTCCAGTCAAGCGTACAATCATTCCCTTCAGGCGTAGCTAGGTGTTTTTTTTGGCATTTGGCGTGTTTTTTATCAATAAGAACATTCGATGATTCTAATAGATCACATTCGATGCTTCGTACAAATCATTCTATGCTTCGTACAGATCATTCGATAATTCTCACAGATCATTCGATGATTCGTACAGATCATTAGATCTATGTTCTTAGTCTAGGATTTTTTAACAGGAGTAGGTTAATATGACGTAGAACATGGAACTTTTCTCTCTCTGGTGAAAGGTCATGGGTTTCTTGTTGGCACTACACGTGAGCCAAATTAGAGATTTGAATCAGAACAGGGTGACTGGACAGTTCAACAGTAACAGCCAATGTTACAAGTTGTTTAGTCTACATTATCACAAATGGAGGGGGGGGGGGGGTGGGGTTGGGACGGGGGTATTTGCTGTGGGTGTGAGACTTAGAGAGGTTGACCTCTGGAAATGGCTGTTTCTGTGGTAAAGTAAAGCTTGCCATGATTAAAATGTCAAACTAGACTTATATTACAACGTCGGCGAAACTAATCTGACACTATATATTTCTTTACGCGAAGAATAAATAAAAGCATCATTTATTAAACAAAATAGGGGGTCGACGTGGTCGAGTCAGTAAAGTCTCGAGTTCGAACCATCGGGCAGATGAGGCTCGTTAGCTGCCTTGTAGTTTGTTCTTGGTTAAATATTTAAATAAGAAAAAAATGTTTGTATTGATGTGTCGTGTCGTGTTGCCTATGACCTCAAATGTTAAATAATGGGGCCGATCCCCCGACCCCCCCCCCCCCCATCTATTGTGTGTACTTACAGTCTATGTCTTCTATAAAGCGCGGCTGACCATTTTGACGTATATTTAGATAACATCGGCAATGTCAAGGCAAGAAAAAGTAAAACTCATTGACCAACAATTCCTTTTCATCTAGGCATTGTCTGACAGTCACTTCTTATTCCCATGTTTTGTATCCTGAATTCCTTTGTCATACGCTGATATTTTCATTAAAAACATTTTCATGTGTTTACATATACTCCTACCAGTCTGTCTAGACTAAAAGATGCTCTCACCTATTTAAGGCATATACATTACTCATTCAGTGTTCAATACTCACAAGGTGACACTCAGCCTAAAAATGTCATAATACCTTTTAAAAAATTGATTATTTTGCAACCCAAAGCTGCTACTAAATAAAGACTGACCAAAGAAAAGAATTCAAATAATTAATTTCGGACGAAAATATAAACATTGATAGCAACCCTTGACATCAGGAAGATGGTTGTGGACTATTTTAATCTTTCTACAGTGACAATACCCTTTCTAAAGAAAATTATATTTATATCAAGAAAGAAAAAAAAGGTTGAAGTTATATAAGAAGATCCAGCAGTCATGTAACGGATACGTCAAAAATAGTTTAGTTCAGCTCTGATTTTGTCGTTGTAAAGTTAAAATTATACACCAGGAAGCAAAAAAGTAGACTAAATTTAACTTATTTTAATGTAACATTTTGAAAAGAGCTCCCGTGAAAGTATTAATATCATGACGCATTTATAGAAAGCTCAACCTTTTGAATAAGTAATCATAGTTACAATAACATGACTTACTTCTAAAATGTAATCAGAAATGAAATTTTAACAATTAAATTAAACGAAAAGAAATTCAGAAAAGTAATCGTAATTCGCGGAAGATGTCGGAATGACTTTGTTGTACAGCTACAGTGGGAGGTCCATTTTGTTTTTACACGAACTCGGTCAGAATCCAAAATGAAATATTAATTAGCCTTTTTTAAAACAAATTAGGAATACTTAAAAGTTGACTTCTTTGTCTTAACTATAACAACAATATTAATACTAAATTGGATGCTATAATATTGATTAGATAGTCAAGGAAGTTAAAACTTTCCCTGAAATAAATATCGGACAGGGTAGGGGAATTGTTTAGTTGACAAAATATAAATAGACACTTAATCGCACCGAAATGTGTATCTCAGGCGGCAAAATTATATCCAGGTGAACTGAACATATAAAAAATGTGAGGTGGTATGGAGTCTCGTTTTGAGATCGGGTCTTTAATAGGTCAACCTGTAAGCCTGGGAATAGCGGCCATGTGGCCAGAGGTAAACAAAACACGGCGCCTGTATCCCGCAAAATAGACATGTGGACTTGACGATGTTATGTGTTGGTAGATATTTCCGGAGGAACAACCTACTAGACGGCATCATCTGTAATCCCCATTTGTAATCTCATTCGAAAGTATACCCTAGATATAAACTCATATCTAACCCTAACCCTAACCCTAACCCTAACCCTAACCCTAACCCTAGACATAAACTCAGATCTAACCCTAAACCTAACCAACCATCTATAAACAAAGGCCAGGTATCAAAGACCTTCTTCATTTGACATGTGAAAACTCCTGTGGGACAAAGGGCTGAAATTACTAGAGGCGTAGCGAGGGGGGGGGGATTAGTCCCCGGGCGCCGACCCTAGGAGGCCAAAATGTTTTGGAAATAATTAAAAGCTCATTTAGCTGCAATTTTGAATTATAAACATACAAATTACATGTGGGGGGGGGGCGCCAAATTGAAAGTTCGTCCCCGGGTGTCGGGAGGGGTCGCTACGCCTCTGGAAGCTACATCTCCTCAGCAAACTATGCTTTAGACAGCTGACTTTAGTTAAGCCCATGTGAGCCTCACAGTCCTTGTGATGCTTGCCACAGTTCTTCTTCAGAAGCAGAAGGTCCACGTTCTCTGTGAGTTCCAGGCCAACATTTGCTTCCAGATGTTTTTATCTTCTCAGGACATGCCCGACCCATCGACATTCGCCTATGACAGTATCATTGCTAGCTAGCAACAACTCTCTGACACAACTAAACTGTACCTGCACCGTGCCTATGACGCAACTAAACTGTACCTACACCGTGTCTATGACGCATCTAAACTGTACCTGTACCGTGCCTATCTGCACCCTGCACCGTGCCTATGACGCAACAAAACTGTACCTTTACCGTGCCTATGACACGACTAAACTGTACCTGCACGGTGTCTATGACGCAACTAAACTGTACCTGCACCGTGTCCATGACGCAACTAAACTGTACCTGCACCGTGCCTATGACGGAACTAAACTGTACCTGCATCGTGCCTATGACGCAACTAAACTGTACCTGCACCGTGCCTATGACGCAACTAAACTGTACCTGCACCGTGCCTATGACGCAACTAAACTGTAAATGCATCGTGCCTATGACGCAACTAAACTGTACCTGCACCGTGCCTATGACGCAACTAAACTGTACCTGCACCGTGCCTATGACGCAACTAAACTGTACCTGCACCGTGCCTATGACGCAACTAAACTGTACCTGCATCGTGCCTATGACGCAACTAAACTGTACCTGCACCGTGCCTATGACGCAACTAAACTGTACCTGCACCGTGCCTATGACGCAACTAAACTGTACCTGCACCGTGCTTATGACGCAACTAAACTGTACCTGCACCGTGCCTATGACGCAACTAAACTGTACCTGCACCGTGCTTATGACACAACTAAACTGTACCTGCACTGTGTCTATGACGCAACTAAACTATACCTGCACCGTGCTTATGACACAACTAAACTGTACCTGCACCGTGCCTATGACGCAACTAAACTGTACCTGCACCGTGCTTATGACACAACTAAACTGTACCTGCACCGTGCTTATGACACAACTAAACTGTACCTGCACCGTGCCTATGACGCAACTAAACTGTACCTGCACCGTGCCTATGACGCAACTAAACTGTACCTGCACCGTGCCTATGACGCAACTAAACTGTACCTGCACCGTGCCTATGACGCAACTAAACTGTACCTGCACCGTGCCTATGACGCAACTAAACTGTACCTGCACCGTGCCTATGACGCAACTAAACTGTACCTGCACCGTGCCTATGACGCAACTAAACTGTACCTGCACCGTGCCTATGACGCAACTAAACTGTACCTGCACCGTGCCTATGACGCAACTAAACTGTACCTGCACCGTGTCTATGACGCAACTAAACTGTACCTGCACCGTGTATATGACGCAACTAAACTGTACCTGCACCGTGTCTATGACGCAACTAAACTGTACCTGCACCGTGCCTATGACGCAACTAAACTGTACCTGCATCGTGTTTCTGTGACATCTACACATGAAGAAATAGTGTGGTCAGCACAATACGTAACAACATTTACTCTATTTTTAATGAGTCAGGTGCATAAGATATGGGTTGCTATGGGACGTCCAGAGACTCAAGCCTAGGATCCGAACTAGAGTCTCTCGGGTTAGCAGTCTTATGCTCTATCATCCGACCATGCCGTTGCAAAGTCTCTCTGCGCTACCTTGGTTGTTCAGTTCAGCAAAAGACAGCCTATGTTTTACCCTAGCTTGGCTGTGCTATAAATACCCGCCACAGTCACGTCCCATCACAACCATTTTATCAATACTTCTGTCCTAAGCTCTAACTTTTGCAATATATCGATTTTATGCCTTCAATTCTCTGATAGGTCATATATCCATTCCAAAGCCTTTACCCGGCACAATATATCGATTTCCCTACCTTCTATGGGACATAAGGTATCGATGCTGTACCTTCTATGAGGCACGAAGTATCGATTCCATTACTATCTACAGGGCATGAAGTATCGACTATTTCATTATCTTTCAATACGGTCTATTACTGAGATTTTAGATACATCTGGACGTTAAAACAAGCAGGACAAAATTTGGAACAAACTAGCAAACAATTTCACCGTACAAGAGAGCAATGGTTATATTTTTATTTTCTCTGGTTTTGGTGGTTAGGTGGGGGGGGGGGGGAGTCAGTTTTTTGTTATATCTTGTTTCATTTATTTCGGTTTAGTTTTCTACCTTCTTTTTCTAAAGATTATTTCAATGCTTATGGAAGGTTTTTCGTATCATTGATTTGGTGAATTTTTTTTGCAACTCTGAATTTGAGGTTGTCTTGCTTCATTGATTTTCTGTGGATTTTTTTTTTACCTTTTTTGAAATCAATGGTATTTCTCTTTAGTGAGTTTGATCTAATTTTACCTCCAAAAGGAATTAAAATCACCTGTCAATAGCGTAGCCTCCAACATAGGATTTACATAATTCATTTAATCAAACAAAATAAAAGAAGCGCTAATTAAATCATTAAGTATTCATTAACACGGCCCGTAATGAACAAATTGGGGAATTAGGATAACGAATTAATCTCCACAACTTAACATAGAAAACATCGAAACTCAGGAATATAACTGTTGACATGAAGCTCGTATGATTTAATAATTTAATTGGATATTAATTTTATTTCAATGCATGCGTATGTTCAAACTAAATGTATTTAGTAACAGCTATAAGTAGCTTAAAAAAGGTGCTATTTAAAAGTAAATGCCGAAGACACAATGTATAGTAGAATTTTAAATGAAACAATCAGCAGTGATGTAAAGTTTTTTTGCTTCTGGTGTAATTGTTGATTAGTAACTTGCGAGATACCATTGGCTATTAGGATAATGTGACAATTCATGTTTGATTGAAAAGTATAACAGGTTATGATAAGTATGTGACTAAAATAATTTTAATAAAAGAAATACGTTTTTTTTTTCTAAATATAACAACTACAATGTGTAGCTGAAAGCTACTTAACATAAAATATGCAAAGTTCCAGTTTTCTTAGTTTTGTACTTTAATGTAGACTACACAATCGTGACGAAAACAGCCGATTCGGTCGGTTTTTTTTAAAAACATTCGACGTAAATAAAAAAATAAAAACTTGAATTACTATGAACTTGACACCTATTGATAGATTTCATAACACGTCTTATCCAGTGGCGTAGCCAGGATCGTCTAACCCCCCCCCCCCTGCCTACGCCACTGGTCTTATCAGATCCCTCTGTTTTGCATGATGTTCAGAGTAAGAAACTACAAACATTTTTCTGTCTTTAAACGTTGTCCAATGGATAAAAACTGTCGCAGTCGAAAACACGTCTTCTTTAGCAAAATATGGATGTGTTTTTATACTTGGCTGAAATTTTCTAGAAATGTCTCTCAAAGTTTGCGAAACATGATTGTGTCTTAAATGTTTGTCTAAACTTGCAAGAAATATCTTAAATAACGATAAGAAATTGCAAGAAATATATGTTGCAGATTGAAAAGCATCATTATGTAGAAATTGTGTTGAAACTAGCAATAAATATAATTAATATCTGTCTCAACATGCAATTAAATATCTATCAAAATTTACAAAACATAATTGTCTCTTAATTGTTTGTCGAAATTTCCAAAGAAATATCTTAAAATATCTGTCGAAAGTTGCAAGAAATACCTTAAAAACTGTCGAATTTGCAAGAAATACATGTAGCAGGTAGCAAAAAATACATGATTAAGTCTAAATTTTGTTGAAATTTGCAAGAAATATTTAACAATATTTGCAAAACCTAATTATGTTTTAAATGTTGGTCAAAATTTCCAAGAAATATCTTTAAATATGTCGTAATTTGCAAAAAAAATATCTTAAATATCCTATCGAAACGCAAGACGAATCTCTGCTTAAAACACTGCCGTATTTTGAAAACATTCTCACTGTCCTGTACCCATTGCTATTTTATGTGTACCTTCACAGTTAAAGTCCGGACACCGTGTAGCTGAGTTACCTCCCATTCACAGGTTTCTAGATGTCAAATTTACATTGAGCTGTCACTCAAATGTGATAATAAACTCAAGCGGGTGATCAAAATATTTTAGCGGGAGTTGTGAATTTATCAGATAGAGCGAAACGGAGGCGAACATGGTTCCACAAGAGGGTTTCTCAAAACATTTCTTTGAAAACGTGTTTTGATTTACGCTTGATATTGTTTATTGTAGAATGTAAAACAACTGTTTAAAAATAGAAATTTTGCCAAGACTGATATATCAAACACTACAGCACGAACACACACACACACCGAGGAAGCATACCTCTTACAATGGGGCATAAACATTACAGTTACACACACACACACATATCATCGATTACTATAATACTGAGGCTCAAGCACATAGAGACATAAACGACACTCACACAAGAATCACAAGCACACGCATACAGACACACAAACACAAACACACACACAATAAACACAAGCACACGCACACAGATACAAGAAGTCACACGCAGACACACAAAGACATACAAACACACGCACGCAAGAAGCACAAGCATACGCACCCAGACATGCAAACACAAACACACACACACGACGTCACACGTACACACACAAAAGACATGCACAGACACACATACCGACACAAACACCAACAAACAATACCCCCAACGCATGACTCTGACGCCGTAAGATAAATGACTTAAGACGCAATCAGCAGCAATATGCAGGTATCTACCTGCCGTGGCAGGTATCTCCCTGCCGTGGCAGGACGAGGTAAGTACAGATAACCCGTCTGATCCGGACATAAAGACGCGATCGGCCCCCAGTTATTGGCCCTGTCGGCGGCCAGACGGAGATTTTCTGGCACCGCAGAGGGAGCTGAAGCGGCGCAGAGCCGGGCGATAAGATAGCAGCTCCGTCGTGTGATGTGGGGGCTGCAACATTTTAAACACAATCAACTTTCAGCAGGTTTACAATAAACTTTCAGCACTTTTATAATAAACTTTCAGAAGTTTTACAATAAACTTTCAGAAGTTTTATAATAAACTTTCAGAAGTTTTACAATCAACTTTCAGCAGGTTTATAATAAACTTTCAGAAGTTTTACAATCAACTTTCAGAAGTTTTACAGTAAACTTTCAGCAGTTTTACAATAAACTTTTTTTCAGCAGTTTTACAGTAAACTTTCAGCAGTTTTACAATAAACGTTTTTTTAGCAGTTTTACAATAAACTTTTTTTCAGCAGTTTTACAATAAACTTTCAGCAGTTTTACAATAAACTTTTTTCAGCAGTTTTACAGTAAACTTTCAGCAGTTTTACAATAAACTTTCAGCAGTTTTAAAATAAACTTTTTTTCAGCAGTTTTATAGTAAACTTTCAGCAGTTTTACAATAAACGTTCAGCATCGATACATAGTACTGCATAGAGCTTAAGTCTAAGACTGTTCGTCGCCACGATTTTAACAACACAGCTAGCCATTGAGCTGAACATAAAGACGCCCGGCAATTTCTAAAACTTGCCGGCGAGATGTCAAGTTATGTGTAACTGCAGTACATTCCACCTATTCTATCGTGTTGTGTTTTATCTTAATACAGGCAACCAATTACACCGTGTCTGCATCGAAACTAAAAACTTGATGAAAACCGTTTTCATGCCCGAATCTGTGACTGGAAGTAAAGCATGTCTACATAGTATGAATTATATATATATATATATATATATATATATATATATATATATATATATATATATATATATATATATATATATATATATGTGTGTGTGAGTGTTTTGAGAGAGACAGAGAGATTAAGTGAGAGAGAGATACATAACTATTTGTATGTATCTAATTGTAAACCAAATAAGAACTAAGGCACATGGCAGAAATTCAGGCCGGTAAACGGTATGATTCCACCCATTCATCAGATGACCTTACTTTCACCCTAGACTCCCTGTCTTAAGCCAGAAGTACAGGATGTTTGTTGCAATAATTTCACTCGAAGCTTTTTTGCCTCCTGTTTTTTTTTTCTTCCTTGTTTCTCGTGACGGTTTTAACTCTTGTTGGAAACTTACCGCTAGGGGTTAGGGTTATAATCTACAGTTCGGCACACACGCCCACACACACATACATGCTTACGTACATACATTCATAAATATATACATACACTAACTCACATACATAATATATACATACATACAGACATATATACACTTACACACACATACATGCATACATACATACATACAGACAGACATTTATACATTCACACACACATACATATTATATACATACATACAGATATACATACACACACACAAACACATTCATGCATACATACATACAGACAGGCTTACATACACTCACATACACATACATAATATATACATACATACACACTAACACACACACTTACATAAATACATATACACACACATGCACACACACACCATCTCACATATATACAAACACAGACACAAAACGGGAGGAGGCTTATAATCTACCTTTAGGCAACACACAAACACGCACACAATACTCACACACAGACTCTCGCACACACGAACATACACTCAGCGAGGTCAGGTTTATAATTTAACTTTTGGCATACACCCCCAAAACGG